TGCGTCGATACAATTTTTCAGCGTTGCGCGAGAAGGATGTCCGAGGCGCTGGTGCCAGAGTGCGTCGTCAGCGCGAAAGCCGGAGGTGCGCATGTAGTGCGCGCGCTTCCTCAGGGTCTTCGTCACGTACAGGAGCAGGTTCCGATGCTTCTTCCTCTGCTTCTTCTTCTTCTGTCGCGGTGGTGAGCATCAGCGCCAGGAATTCTCTGTCACGAATTTCAGAGAGCGGGATGTTGGTCCCAGGGATGGTTCCAGGGACGAGGGTTGGTTCGCGTGGTTCGGGAGCCGGTCCGTAAGCGGTGCGACGCGGGGTTGACGGCTCGTTGCCCCAGGCGATGGTGTCCCATGGATCGCGGCGCGGTGGGTTATCAGGAGGAGGTAACGCGAGTGGGACATGGCGTGGGGGACGACCGAGGGGAACAACTGCAGACTCTCCAGCTTCTTCTTCTCCCCCCCTTTGGTCTTCGCGGGAAGTCCCCCAGCCTCTAGTAGGGGTGCCCCGGCCACTCGTGTCAGCGCCAGATGCGGCGCCCCATCCGCCGGTTGCGGTTGCCCAGTCGCCAGCCTCAGTCGTTCCCCAACCGCCGACGTTTTCCCACCCCCCTTCATTGGTGGCGCTTTCTTCAGCTTCGGCGCCCCATGCGGCGCAGGTGAACGTTCCGCGTGCCTCGGCGAGGCACTGTTGGCGAAGCTCCTCGGCTTCGCGGAGCGCCAGTTCTTCCTCCTGTTCCACGGTGAGTTTTGCCATGGGGTCGCGCCAATGTGGGTAAATCTGCAAAAAATTCTCGCGGGTGTAGGGGCGTGGCATGCCACGCGCATCGAAGGTGCCGACACCAGTTCCACGAAGCATCCCTCGAAGATGTTGAGAAGGGGGACCTGTGAGGGGGTGCCCAGGCGTGCCGAACACGCCATGCGTGGTGACTTCGAGTTCGAGTTGCGACATCCCTTCCTCGGGGGGCACATTGCGCTCTGCTTCCGCGATGGCGGCGAGTCCGCGGCCTGCAATCGCGCTCGTCGAGGTCGTCGGCGTGTGACAATCCCTGCAGATTCCATCTGGATCGGGGTTGTGAAGTTCCGTTTCGCGTGGGTGGGGATGATGCGGCACCCACGGCCTGCCGTCAGGGTGCTTCCAGTCCCTGCAGTGGATGTGTTCGAATCGCAGTGGCACGAGGTCAATCAGCTCGTGCGAGTCGCCGCTGCAGTCGGGAATGTCGAAATCCAGGATGTACATTCCATTTTCGGAGTGTGCTCGTCCGATCTGCCTGCTCGTAGTGCAGCAGAATGTCGCGCGTCGCGCGATCTGTGCTGAGTTCTACGCCGCAATCCATGAGCTGTGCGGCGGACAGGAGGTTGAAGCGCAGGTTCTGGACGATCAGCACATCGTTGAGCGTGATGTGAATGCGGCTTCCGCGTGCTTTGAGCACAACGATGCCTTGCGCGCTTGCGCGCAGGCGCGTGTTGTTCGCCACTGTGACGTAAGTGACTGTGGGGGTGGCGACGGCGTTGGATATGTAACGCTCGGAGCCTACCATATGCTGGCCGCAGCAGCTGTCCAGGTACCAGGTGTTGTAGCGCTTGTTGTTGTCACGTGCGAGCAGCGCCAGTCGCGGCGTGACGATATGCGCAGTGTCGAACTTCAGGAATTGCTCGCGTGAGAGCCAATCAAGTGGCGCCACCCGCATGTCAGGTACGTGCGGGGGACTCTCAAGTAGCGGGACTGGGACATTCCAGTCCTGGTCGTCGTCGTCGGTGAAGTCGTGGCGCGGACTGAATGGGTTGTTGTTAGAGAACGCGCCAATGGGATGCGGTGCTGGCTCAGGTGATGGTGAGCGCACGCGGCGACGACGTGACTCGCCTGTCATGGCCATTTTGCTCATGACATTGTGTACTGTGGCAGTCGGTGGCGGCTGCTGCTGCTGATGCTGAACCGCGGGGTTCAGGTTGCGCGCGGGTTGGGGTTGATACCCCTGGGCTGGACGCACGTCGCCTCGTGCGTCTTGTCGGCCGGACCAGGTGCTCGGATTGGTCGGGCGAGGGCGAGATCGGTATTTACATCGATCCGCCAGGTGCCCGAAAGTCCTGCAAATTTTGCAGTAGAGGCGCCTCGGACGTCGCTCTTCGTTGTTGTCGGCGTAGAAGGCGATCCGTTCTCTTTCTCGTCGCGGCGCTGGTCGCTGCTGATCCATATCCCTTTGTTCGACGAGAAGGGCGGCGCAGAGGGCGGCCTCCGAGATGACCCCCTGCTGTCGGAGAAGCGCCTTGCAGGGCCGCCACTCTGGGCCGAGCCCTTGAAGTACGATGTCAACGAAGATTTCTTCAGATATCGTGCTTCCCAACTTCACGATATGATCGCGAAGGCTTCGACAGCGGTTTAGGTAAGTGTTGACCTTCTCCCCTGAGGTCATCTTGGCTTCCAGGAGTTCCTGGAGCAGTCGGCTCGAGGCGACAGAGTCCTTGGGCTGATACACTCCTGTCAGATGTCGCCAGGCGTTGAGGGCTGGAGCTGCTGTCGTTTTGTACGAACGAATGTTCAGCTGCTCCGCCGGGGACATGTTCCGCAGGAGCACGCCGTACGCCATCAGTGATTCGTTGTAATACCTCGCCTTGGCGTCATCGGTGTCCTCGGCAGGCTCGGCGTAGCTCCCGTCGAAGTAATGGAAGATTTGGGCGTTCTGCAGCAGGAGCTCCAATTCGAAGCTCCAGGTATAGAAGTCTTTGCCGTCAAAGCTGGAACTTGTCTTTATTTTTGATATGCTCAGAAACTTTGATTGAGCCTAGAGAATTGCTTCTTCACTGGGACGGGGAGCCTTGGGGGTTGAGCCATTTGTGTCGAGGGAGAAGGTTTGCGGGACGGTGTTCTGCCCAGTTGGGCCTGGTTGGGTTGGTTGCGAGGATGTTCCCGCATCGCCGTTCCGCAATGTTTGGAGCCCTTGCTCCAGACTGGTGAGTCGCTGAAGAAGTTGTGCGGGGACTTTGGTGCCGATCGTAGTCGTTTCCTCGCTTGTCGCAGCCGGATTGGTGCGCGCTTCAGCCGTCAGATTAGTCTGACCACCAGATCCTCCGGCCATTCTCACACGCGAGCGTGTGCCGGTCGCCACTTTCCGAGTGTCGCAATTTTCGGGAGTGGTGTTGCGAAGGATTCCCGAGCTGCTCTCATACCATGCTACGATCAGAGAATGATCGCTTACCAGGATCTACTCGGGAAGGTTCGCACACAGGGAAATGTAGTTGGTGGGCCCGTGACCTCAATAGCAGAGTGAATGTAAAATGCTTGAGATGATCAAAACATGCAAATACAGCAAGTATAAATATGAGTACACCGAAGACGAAACGACATAGCTAGCCATGTACATTCCCTTATTCAAACGCATTCTCAACCGTGTGGCGCGTACAGTTTCGTAACTGTTCCCGCCAAAAACATCCTGCCTGCAGCTGTCCGATGCCGTCTGCTTCCGACGGTCCAGATGCGGCCCAACTGTCTGACACTTGAGTCAAACTCCAACCGTCTGACGGTTCGCTTTCTTGCTTCGATACTGCGTGCTTCTCTTTGCTGCGGTGAGGAGTGCTCAGTAACAATTAAATGTTACTATTCGTAACAATACCATGTCAAACTGAGGAATTGATGATGCATTCATGTTGGTTGGGGTATAAGTAGCTAACCCTAACTTTTGTACTCCCTAAGACAAACCTCACTATAGGCTACCACATTTGACAACAACACACAAACTGGTACAAAAACAGATGACAACGATTGAGAATGTTTCAAGGCGAATACTAAATGCATCAATGCTGCAACTAAGATTGATATGGTACGGAAGAGGCTAACAAAGCTGCCCCACCGACGATCACAATCCGAGTTGCATTCACGAGGCACTTAGCACCACACCCTGAAACACACACAACACATATGCACATGTACGCACTCACACGTACAGGCTCACACATACACACAGACACACAACGCAAAAACATACAGCTACGATAATAAGCATGCAAGAATAATGAATGAAGTTCAGCCTTGTATAAATTATCACTAGCCTGTCCCTCATCCCCCCCCCTCCCCTCCCTCCCTCCCTCCCTCCCTCCCTCCCTCCCTCTTTCCCTCCCTCCCTCCCTCCCTCCCTCCCTCCCTCCCTCATCTCCCTCACACCCCCTTTCTCATCTCCCTCCCACCCCCTCCCTCATCTCCCTTCTCTGCCAAACAGAATAAACGAATGCAGCGCACGCGCCCTGCACAGAGCAAAAACAGAGAATGCAAAGCACGTGCCCTGCACAAGAAGAAAGGCAAAAATACAGAATAATCACACACTGTACAAAAAAATCAATAAAACGCATAATGCTTCCCTGCGAGGAGGCCAAGCAGGAAATTTGACAAGCAATGGAAATTTGACCACTCACAGAGGTAAAATGGTGTGGCACCACAGTACTCTTAGACTCTCTCTCAGAACCAAACACACAAACCTACACGCCCTCTCACGCGCTCTCTCACACGCTCTCTCTCGCACACTCCCTCGCGCACTCTCACGCGCACTTTCACGCACTCTCTCCACGCTGTCTCACGCACTCTCTCACGCGCACTCTCACGCGCACTTTCGCGGGCACTCTCACGCGCACTCTCACGCGCACTCTCACGCGCACTCTCACGCCCTCTCTCACTCGCTCCCTCACGCGTCTCTCGAGCGCTCTCTCACGCGCTTACTCACGCTCACTCTCACGCGCTCTCTCACGCGCTCCCTCACCTGCCCTCTTACGCGCTTTCTCACGCGCTCTCTCACCTGCCCTCTCACGCGGCCGGCCTCTCACGCGCTTCCTCACCTGCCCTCTCACGCAGCCTCTCACGCGCTCCCTCACCTGCCCTCTCACCTCTCACGCGCACACGCACTGTCACGCGCTCTCTCACGCGCACTCTCACGCGCACTCTCACGTGCGCACTCTTTCTTGCACGCTCTCTCACACACACTCTCACGCGCACTCTCACGCGCTTCCTCACGCGCTCGCTCATGCGCGCTCTCACGCGCACACTTACGCACTCTCACGTGCGCACTCTCACGCGCTCCTTCACGCGCACTCTCACACGCTCCCTCACGTGCACTCTCACGCGCTCCTTCACGCGCGCTCTCACACGCGCTCTCACGCACTCTCACGCGCTCTCTCACGCGCGCACTCTCATGCGAACTCACATGCGCACTCTCACACTCTCCCTCGCGCGCTCTCTCACGTGCGCACTCTCACGCTCACTAACACGCGCACTTTCACGCGCTCCCTCACCTGCCCTCTCACCTCTCACGCGCACTCTTACGCGCACACACACTGTCACGCGCTTTCTCACGCGCACTCTCACGCGCACTCTCACGCGCGCACTCTTTCTTACACGCTCTCTCACACACACTCTCACGCGCACTCTCACGCGCTTCCTCACGCGCTCGCTCATGCGCACTCTCACGCGCTCCTTCACGCGCGCTCTCACACGCGCTCTCACGCACTCTCACGCGCTCTCTCACGCGCGCACTCTCATGCGAACTCACATGCGCACTCTCACACTCTCCCTCGCGCGCTCTCTCACGTGCGCACTCTCACGCTCACTAACACGCGCACTTTCACGCGCTCTCTCACATGGCCTCTCGCGCGGCGCCCTGGTGCCAGAGCGCTAATTGCCAGCGCGTTAGGCGCCAAGGCGCAAGGCACCAGCGCACTAGGCGTCAGCGCGCAATGCACCAGCGCACTAGGCGTCAGCGCGCAAGGCGCCAGCGCGCTAGGCGCCAGCGCTTTAGGCGCCAGCGCTTTAGGCGCCAGCGCGCAAGGCGCCAGCGCGTTAGGCGCCAGCGCGCAAGGCGCCAGCCCGCACGGCGCCAGCGCGCACGGCGCCAGCGCGGACGGCACCAGCGCGCAAGGCGCCAGCGTGCACGGCGCCAGCGCGCACGGCGCCAGCGCGCAAGGCGCCGGCGCCCAAGGCGCCAGCGTGCATGGCGCCAGCGCGCACGGCGCCAGCGCGCAAGGCGCCAGCGCGCACGGCGCCAGCGCGCAAGCAGCCAGTGCGCTAGGCGCCAGCGCGCGAAGCGCCAGCGAGTTAGGCGCCAACGCTATACGCGACAGCGTGCTAGTTCCCGTGCGAACTCTCTCACTCGCTCTCACTCTCTCAAATGGTTTGCAATGCAAAAGGAGATCAATCGACAAACATAGAACTTACGAAAAAGATGTACGAAAGTAAATGATTTTTTCAGAGAGGAAGAGGAGAAACGGACCGGGAAAGGACAACGCACCTAAGAACCACGGTGCCTCAGAGGTCGATTCGCGCTCGCCCACCAGCTTGCGCTCGTGCAACTGCTGTCAGCGGCGACGGCGGGATGATCGGGCGAGGCGACGGTGGGATGGGAGGGGGGGGGGGGCGACGGCAGGCTAAGAGGGATACGACAGGAGGCTATGAGGGAGGATGGCGGGATAGGAGGGAGAAGGTGGGGTGGCAGGAGGCAACGGCGGTGTGAGGGAGAGGCGATGGCGAGGTGGGTGAGGAGGTTGATGGCTAGCTGGGTGGTGGCAAGGAGGGAGGTGAAGGTTGGGGTTTGTGGGGGTTGCGGCGAGGTGGAACAGATAGGAGCTGCTCGGAGCTAAACAAATCTGGATGTTGGGGCAACTGCCAAAAAAGTCAAGCCATCGGAAAAGAAGGCATGAAAAATTTCTATATTGAATCTGAAATTTTCTATTAGGGGTCTAATTGCAAACCAGTCAAAATTTGGGCACCAGGTAAATAAAAACAAATCAGGCATCTAGATTTGGAAGCTAGTGTGACGTGAAATGCTCGTACAATGACGTAACACATCTGTTACAATCTGAAGTGGGACTTAACGAAACAAGGATCGTTCAGGGTTGATCGCAGGTAGTGTTGCAGCGGAAGTACCGTAGTGAACTCAGGTCAAAGTGAATGTAAAATGACTGAGATAATAATACCATGCATACATAGGGTTTACATAGAAATACAAGGGAATGTGAAACGATCTAGACTAGCCATGTACTCTAAGGGGTACGTTCCCTTATTGCAGCGAAATTCAAACCGTGCGGCGCGGGAGTCAGTTTCAAACCTGTTCCCGCTCTTTTCATTTCAAATGTCTCTGCCTGCATCGGTCTCGATCAGGCGGTTGCTGTGTCGCTTCGATTCTTCTGAATCCTCGTCTTCGTACTCGGTAGAGTCGGCTCCTGCAGCATACAGGAATGCCTTCTCATTAAACTTCGTATCGTAACACTCCGCTTCATTCCTGGACGCGAAGGGTGCTGACTCGCTTGACCACTCCAGTGAGGTCAGAGCAGTGTTTGAACTGCTGACGTGGCAGCAGCTTGGTAAGGAAGTCGGCTGTCATTTCAGTGGTCGGGCAGTATGCGAGGTCAACTTTGCCTTGGTCGATTTCGTCTTTGACGAAGAAGTACCGCAGTGCGATGTGCTTTGTGCGGTTCACGAACCCAGGCTTGTTCGCGATCTTGATCGCGCTCTGGTTGTCGCAGTGCAGGCGAAAGGTGGGCGAAGTTGGAATTTTCGCTTCCTGTAGCAGCTCCTGCAGGTACAGATCTTCGCGAACTGCTGCTATCGCGGCGATGTATTCAGCTTCGGCCGATGACAGAGCAACCAGTTCCTGCTTCTGCGAATTCCAGGAGATGGGGCCAGTTGGCTCCAAGCGGAAGACAAAGCCGGTTCGGGACCGTCGATTCGCTGGGTCAGCGGCATGATCAGCATCCACATAGCCGTTGAGGTTGAAGGATGTCGTTGACAGCGTGGAGTACGAGAGCCCGATGTTAGGTGTGGAAATGAAGTACTGCAGGGCGCGCTCCAAGTCCAGCTGGTTCTCAGCTATTGGCTTGCGGGAGTACTGTGCCAGTTGGCTGGCGATGTACGAGAGGTCGGGTCGGCATGTGACAGATGCGAACAGCAGGCAGCCCAGTTGCTGCTGGTACAGTTGGAGTCCGGCAGGGGACAGAGGCTTGTTGTCCGGTTTGTAGTTGGTGCCGGGGTTGCGGTAGGGGGTTGAGAGTGGTGCGCGTGAGATGTTGAAGCGCTCCCCCAGCTGCTCTGCATATTTTGAAGCTGACAGATGGATTGCTTCTGGCGCGTGTGTGATGTTCAGACCCAAAAACTGAGTGACTTTGTGGTTGATGGTGATGTCCACGCGCTTTGCCAGATTTTCTTCGAACTGATTAAGGAGCAGGTTGCAGGTGCCAGTGTACAGCAGGTCGTCGACATAGACGGTGAGGAGGATGTAGTCGCCGTTGAAGTGAAGGCGGTACATTCCCGGGTCGTGCGGCAGCTGTTTGAAACCGATCTCGAGCAGGATCTTGTGCAGATGCTGCTGCCAGAGACGAGGCGCTTGCTTGATCCCGTAGAGGGACTTCTTCAGTTGACAGACCCTGGGATCACCTTCTCCGTAGGTGTGTGGCTGCTCCACAAAGATGGTGGCGTCCACCAACGCGTATAAAAACACGTTCTTCACGTCGATCTGTCGCAGTGGCAGATGCTTAGCGGCGGCAATGGCGAGTAGAATTCGGACTGAGGTGTGACGACTGACGGGAGCAAAGGTTTGATCGAAGTCAATGCCGTGGCGTTGGTCGTATCCTCGTACGACCCACCGGGCCTTAAAACGCTCGATAGTGCCGTCAGCGTTAGTTTTCAGACGAAAAACCCACTTGCCGCTCAGTACCCTTCTCCCCTTCACTGCTGCACGATCGACCAGAACCCAGGTGTTACGAGATTCCAGCGCCTTTAGCTCCGCATCCATCGCAGCACGCCACTCCTTGGCGTGGGGGCCGGTTAGGGCCTGGCGATGGTTCTTTGGTTCTGCAGCCCGGGCAAGAGCAGAGACGGATGCGTGCAGGCCGAGAAGCTGGAGGCCTGACACGGTTGTGGTGCCTGTGGTGGTGGGAACTTCCACCACATCGTCGTCTCCGCTTTCGTAGTCGGGTGTTGCGGCGCGTGGCTCTGCTTGGCGCCGTGATGGTCCTGGCGCAAGTCGTCATCACTGTCATCGTCGTCGTCGTCGCGCGGGCGAGGCGGGACGCTGGGATGTTCGTCGGTATCGTCGCGGTCCAGAACTGCTGCTGCTGCTTCATCTTCCGGAGTCGCAAAGCTGCGGCCGCTGTTGACATAGCCGCGTGCCTGGTTTCGGCGTTCGTCCTCGATCCACTGCTTCAGGGTAAGTCGTTCGTAGAAGAGAATGTCGCGCGCGGGAACGATCTTGTTACTGTCAGTGTCAAAGATAAGCCAACCTTTGTGCTCGTGACTGAGCCCCAGATGAATTCCCCAGCACGCACGATGAGCGAACTTGCCAATTGTGGCCGAAGTCGGCCGATATTGCACCATACACCCCCAGACCTGCAGCATGGAGGGGTCTCCCCTTGAGCCGGTCCACTTCATGTGAGGGGATAGGTTATCCCTGTTGGCGGTGGTGGAGAGGAGGTTGTGCAGGCGCACTGCGTGGTTCATGGCGTAAGGCCAAAACTTCTTTGGCAGGCCAGACTGGTTCATGATGGCGCGGACTTTGGTCATGAGGGTGCGATTGACCCTCTCAGCGACGCCTTGCTGCTGATGAGCGTAGGGGAGAGAAATTTCATGCTTGATCCCCTTCTCAGTGAGGACACTCTCCAGCTCGTTGCTGCGAAATTCCTTTGCCCCATCACTCTGCCAAATCTTCAGTTTCCTCCCTGACTGTCGTTGCGCGTGCGCGAGGAAGATGCGGAACACGTCCGGAGCTTTTGAGCGAGCATCGACGTTGGCGATCCACACATAGCGCGAGTAGGCGTCGGTGAAGGTCAACGTGTATCTTTCGCCGTTGAGTCTGTCGCAGGTGAGTACGATGAAGTCACTGTACACCTTCTCCAGCTTCTTGTAGCGGTTAGTGCTCGGCTCTAGAGAGGGGTAGGCGGTGTGGGAGAGTGCAGCTGTGGGACAGACAGTACAAGTGGTCGGGTGTGGCGTGGTACTCTGTAGTTCTGTTCCGTCAGGACGCAGCAATGCTCCAGGCGGAAAAACTTCCGCGCGGAGGCAGTTAGCGAGTGTCTGGCGTGAGGGGTGGCCCAGCCGCTGATGCCAGAGGTCATTTTCGGCACGTATGCTGGAGGTACGCTTGTAACGGGCGTGCTGTTCCGCTTCTTCTGCTTCCGTAAGTTGCGGAATCTGTAGTGGTGATTCTTCTTCTTCTCCTGGTTCTGCTTCGGGCCCCTCTTCTTCTGCCTCTGTCGTTGTCTCCCCTTCTGCAGGTGCCGTTGTGAGATAAAGGGCGAGGAATTCGCGGTCGGGGATAGTATTTAGCGGCGTCCTCGTGCCTTCGATGAGGCGCGCAAATGGATCTGGACGAGAGATTGGACCGAGAGAGTCTCGTGCTGGTGTTGGAGGTATGTTCCCCTCCTCAAGCTCTGTCCAGGTGCTTTCCCATCGGTGGGGTGAACGTGGAGGCGAGTGTGCGGGTGGCGGTCGCCCAAGGGGTATGGTGACGCGGGGAGATTCTTCTCCGCGCTCAGCTCGCATCTCTCGATCTGCTTCCTCCAGTTCTTCCTGTGTTAGTTCTGCCTCTTCTGGTTCCGCCGTGCCCCATCCGCCTGTGGTAACCATGCCGCTGGCTGCAGTGCCCCAGGCGCCAGTAGCGGATCCCCAATGGCGCCTTCCTCTGGTTCGTAATCTTCATCTCCCCATGCCCCTCGTCGTGCGGTTTCCTCGCTCCATCCTGCCGCAACGCGTTCCTCGTACAGCTTCTGTTTCTTTTCTGCCCTGGCCTTCTCCCGTTCTTCCTTGATGCTTAGTTCTTCTGCGTCAGGGTCTTTCCAGGCCGGGTCAATATCGCGATGATAAACTTCGCGAGTGTACGGGCGCGGTCGATTTTCTTCATCGAAGGTGCCGGTGTTAGCTTCGAGCATGAAGCGGAGGGTGTCGGAGCGCGGCGTTGGGCGTGGCACCGGTTGTTGACCGAACTCCTAGTTTTCTTCTCCGAAGATGCGGTAAGTTGCTACAGCGAGTTCTTCTTCGGTCATGCCAGTTGGTTCCTCCTCAGCGCTTTCTGCCTCCTGGATCGCCGCGTACTCTCTTTCGACTTGCTCCGTGCGGCTCGCCGTGGGCGTGTGGCAGGTGGTGCAGAGGCCGTTGATGTCGGGCTCGTGCAGATTGATTTCGCGGGGATGTGGACTTCGCCGGATCCATGGCCGTCCGTCCAGATGCTGCCACGATGCTTCGTTCATGAAGGCGAAGTCGAGAGGGACGAGATCCACGAGTTTGTCGGATGAAGCTTGGCAGTTTGGTATGTCAAAGTCCAGAACGTAGATCCCATTGATTGACCGAGCTCGTCCGAGGTATTTAAATGACTCGGGCGGTGTGTTAGGAGGAGCGTAGGTGAGGATGAGGTCGCGCGTGGCCAGATCCGTGGTGAGGATGACACCGCAGTCGCGAAGTTGTCCTGCCGAGAGGAGATTGAAGCGAAGGTCCGGAACGTAGAGCACGTCATTGAATGAAATGTGTGTGTTGCTGTCTCGTGATTGCAGGACGACGATGCCTTGTGCGTTGGCGCGCAGCTGATGGTTGTTGGCGACGGTGACGTAGGTTGCGGGGGCGCGGCTGAGGTTCGAGACGTATCGAACTGATCCCACCATGTGCTGTCCGCAGCAGCTATCCAGGTACCAGGTGTTAAGGTTGTCGGTGTTGTTGTTGCGTAGTAGCAATGCGAGTCGCGGAGTCACCAGTGTTGCCTTGTAGCGCCTGTGGAAAGATGGGTCTTTGTCCTCCTTCCATCCTACAGGTATGTAGTGTTGATTGTCGTGCGGCGGGCTTTCCCGCAATGTGATTGGCAGGTTTTAATCTTGCTCGTCTTCGTCGTATCCGTAGTGGTTTTCGGTGAAGGGGTTGTTCCACCCTTCTTCTGGCTCGAGTAGTGTTCCTCGGAGTTCGTCTTCTTCGTCTGGTTCGGTGGTGCGGCGGCGCCGTGTCACCATGTTTGCCGTCACGTTTCTGGGAGCTCCAACCTGACTTCCCTGTACTTGTTGTGGTTGCTGGGGAGCTGATTGTTGAGGCTGAGGATGACGAGTGTCTTGTCGGCCGACCCAGTTGTTGTGGTGAGTGGAATTTGGGTGGCGATTGTTGAATCGAGACTTGCATCGATCCGTTGAGTGTCCGAAGATTTTGCAGTTTTTGCAATAATGGCGCCTTGGTTGTCGTCGCACTTCTCGGTTGTCTGTGTAGAAGGCGAGTCGCTCTCGGCGTGGCGCGGAGCTCGTTCTGCTCGAGTCCATGTCCTGCTGTTCAGTCAGCAGGGCGGCGCATAGCGCGGCTTCAGAGAGCTGTCCTCGTTGTCGGAGTAGCGCCTTGCAGGGCTTCCACTCGGGCCCAAGACCCTGGAGGATGATGTTGACGAATATCTCCTCCGAGATAGAACTTCCGTTCTTGATGATTTGATAACGGATGTTCCGACAACGGTTGATGTAGCTGTTTGCTTTCTCCCCGTGCCCCATCTTGGTCTCCATGAGTTGTTGCAGGAGACGACTTGCAGTGACGGAATCCTTCAGCTGATATACCTCAACGAGGTGCTTCCAGGCTTCTAGGGCTGGAGCGGCACTCTCTTTGTAGGAGCGGATGCCGAGCTGTTCTGCAGGCGACATGTTGCGCAGCAGGACGCTATACGCCATAAGTGACTCACTGTAGTATTGAGCCCGGGCGTCTTCGGTGTTTTCCACCGGTTTAGGATAGGAGTCGTCGAAGTAGTGATAGATCTGCGCTGTTTGTAGGAGGAGCTCCAGCTCAAAACTCCATGTATAAAAATCCTTGCCGTCAAATGCGGTAGTAGTCTTAATTTTTGACACACTGAGGAAGCGTGCTTGCGCAGAGTTGATTGTCTCGTCGCTTGGACGGGGGGCAGTTGTTGCAGATTTGTCTGAGTCGAAGGAGAAGCCATGCGCGGCGGTATCGCGGTTTTTCGCAGCCGGTTGTCCAGGTTGTACTGGTTGGGAAGTGGTTCCCGCATCGCCTTTGCGCAGTTCTTGGAGTTCTTTCTCCATAGTTGAAAGTCGAGCGAATAACTGCTCGAGTGCGGCTGTGCCGATCGTAGTTGTCGCCTCATTTGTCGCAGCCGGGTTGGTTTGTCCTTCGGCCGTTAGATTTGTTTGACCTTCGGATCCTCCGGCCATCTTGGTCTTGGAGCGTGTGCCGCTCGCCAGATTTGGGTTCGGCGAATTTTACGGGAGTGACGTTGCGAAGAATCCCTGAGTGGCTCTCATACCATGTTACAATCTGAAGTGGGACTTAACGAAACAAGGATCGTTCAGGGTTGATCGCAGGTAGTGTTGCAGCGGAAGTAGTGAACTCAGGTCAGAGTTAATGTAAAATGACTGAGATAATAATACCATGCATACATAGGGTTTATATAGAAATACAAGGGAATGCGAAACAATCTAGACTAGCCATGTACTCTAAGGGGTACATTCCCTTATTGCAGCGAAATTCAAACCGTGCGGCGCGGGAGTCAGTTTCGAACCTGTTCCCGCTCTTTTCATTTCAAATGTCTCTGCCTGCATCGGTCTCGATCAGGCGGTTGCTGTGTCGCTTCGATTCTTCTGACTCCTCGTCTTCGTACTCGGTAGAGTCGGCTCCTGCAGCATACAGGAATGCCTTCTCATTGAACTTCGTATCGTAACAACATCTAAGCATTTTAGTCAACTTTAAAACAACTCATTGTAAGGCAAAGTATACCTCAGCGACCAAAAAACGCCGCCCGATTTGGAGGTACAAATGGGACAAGGGGCCCCCTCCGGACTGACGACCTCCTGACGACCACCGAGCGGCAAACTGGGCCGAACTGGCGTCCCAGGGGCCACGGGAGCCCTCGGGATTGTCGACATTCTGACGACCTCGGGTTCTGCTGGGAGATACCTGAGAAGGATATCTTAGCGGACAAAATAGGAGAGCCCGCCACGTCGAGCCGCGATTGCTGCCACGCAGCCCAATAGGGACGAGCGAGATCGTCCCCAGCGTGTACATGGCTCCCACGACGTGGGCGTCGTGGCCACGCGTCGCTCCAGCGGTGTTGTTTTTGCGCGGGAAGTCGACGATCCCGCCATAAGTGTCGGTGCGCGACCCACGCGGCGCAAATCGGACCGTCCAAAATGTAACACTCCTGTGGCATCACCTTGCAAGCGAGGTCGATGTCGACCAAGTCATCCAACGGCCCACAACCGAGCCACGCGGCACATTCCCAATGTCAGATTATGTTATTTGTCTAGCCTGCAGTGGGGTGCTCAATAGTGAGTACAACCCCTTAGGGTTTCCTATATGTATCCTGCTGCTTGCTAGTTCAATCATCATTCCCATTCTCACTTCTCGAATTCTCCTTCGTATACCACAAACCCTAGTCCTAGGGCACAACCTACTACCTCCTAGTGTGGGCCTAGGCTACTAAGCCTAGGCCCCACTCCTATTGTTTCTAACATGGTATCTAGAGCGAGCACGTTCCTGCCGCTTACCTCTATGGGCCCACCACCTGCTTCCGCTGCCGTAGTGTCCGCCGCGCGCCCCGTGGTGCGCGGCGGCGAAACCCTAATTTTTCATCCCGCCGCGCCCTCGAAGCGTGCGGCGGTTTTCTGCCCGCCGTGCGCCCCGAGGCGCGCGGCGGTTTTCTGCCCGCCGTGCGCCCCGAGGCGCGCGGCGGCTTTCTGCCCCGTCCCCCCCGCGTCGCCCCGCGTCGTTCCCGTCGCCCGCGGACCCCCGTTCCCGTCGCCCGCGGCCCCCCCGTTCCCGTCGCCCGCGGCCCCCCGTTCCCGTCGCTCGCGGCCCCCCGTTCCCGTCGCCCGCGGCCCCCCGTTCCCGTCGCCCGCGGCCCCCCGTTCCCGTCGCTCGCGGCCCCCCGTTCCCGTCGCCCGCGGCCCCCCGTTCCCGTCGCCCGCGGCCCCCCCGTTCCCGTCGCCCGCGGCCCCCGTTTCGTCGCCCCGCGCGGACGCCAGCGCCACGGCCATCCGCGAGCGCCAGCGCGGCCCGTACGGACTGCGCCAGGCCAGGGCGCGCCTCGAGCCGCTCGCCACAGCAGCAGCCGCCCCTGGAGCCGCCCGCCACTGCAGCAGCCGCCCCTGGAGCCGCCCGCCACTGCAGCGGCCGCCCCTTGAGCCGCCCGCCACTGCAGCAGCCGCCCCTGGAGTCGCCCGCCACAGCAGCAGCCGCCACTGGCGCCGCCCGCCACTGCAGCAGCCGCCCCTGGGGTCGCCCGCCACAGCAGCAGCCGCCCCTGGAGTCGCCCGCCACTGCAGCAGCCGCCCCTGGAGTCGCCCGCCACAGCAGCAGCCGCCACTGGAGCCGCCCGCCACTGCAGCAGCCGCCCCTGGAGTCGCCCGCCACAGCAGCAGCCGCCCCTGGAGCCGCCCGCCACTGCAGCAGCCTCCCCTGGAGTCGCCCGCCTCTGCAGCAGCCGCCTCTGGAGCAGCCGCCACTGGAGCCGCCGCCCCTGGTGCAGCCGCCCCTGGGCCCGCGACGCCGCCCCTGGAGCAGCCGCCCCTGCAGCAGCCGCCCCTGGCCCCTGGAGCAGTCGCCACTGCTGCAGCTGCCCCAGGAACCTCAGTCGCCGCCCCTGGAGCATCCGCACCAGCAGCAGCCGACCATGCAGCTGCCCGCGACGCCGCTCCTGGACCCTGTGCAGTCACGCTCAGTCTCACCCGCGCCCTTGTGCGCCCTACCCTACCTGCTCCGCGCTGTTGCTCTGCACGCGCGGTTGCCCGCGCCCTCGTGCGCTCTACCCTACCTGCTCCGCGCTGTTGCTCTGCACGCGCGGTTGCCCGCGCCCTCGTGCGCTCTACCCTACCTGCTCCGCGCTGTTGCTCTGCACGCGCGGTTGCCCGCGCCCTCGTGCGCTCTACCCTACCTGCTCCGCGCTGTTGCTCTGCACGCGCGGTTGCCCGCGCCCTCGTGCGCTCTACCCTACCTGCTCCGCGCTGTTGCTCTGCACGCGCGGTTGCCCGCGCCCTCGTGCGCTCTCCGCGCTGTTGCTCTGCACGCGCGGTTGCCCGCGTCCTCGTGCGCTCTACCCTACCTGCTCCGCGCTGTTGCTCTGCACGCGCGGTTGCCCGCGCCCTCGTGCGCTCTACCCTACCTGCTCCGCGCTGTTGCTCTGCACGCGCGGTTGCCCGCGCCCTCGTGCGCTCTACCCTACCTGCTCCGCGCTGTTGCTCTGCACGCGCGGTTGCCCGCGCCCTCGTGCGCTCTACCCTACCTGCTCCGCGCTGTTGCTCTGCACGCGCGGTTGCCCGCGCCCTCGTGCGCTCTACCCTACCTTCTCCGCGCTGTTGCTCTGCACGCGCGGTTGCCCGCGCCCTCGTGCGCTCTACCCTACCTGCTCCGCGCTGTTGCTCTGCACGCGCGGTTGCCCGCGCCCTCGTGCGCTCTACCCTACCTGCTCCGCACTGTTGCTCTGCACGCGCGGTTGCCTGCGCCCTCGTGCGCTCTCCCGCCCCGGCCCCCCCCCCCCCCCCCCCCCCTCCTGGGTCCCCTGGACAGGAGGGTGTGGGGGTGGCGGGTGTGGGGGTGCTCCGTGTGCGTCGCCCCTTCCTTCTCCTCCGTCTCCCACTGCTGCAGCTGCCGCTGCGGGGGTGGATGTGTGGGAGACGAGGGAGTGGCGCTAGGGGGGTGATGTGGGCGTGGAGCGAGTGGTGACCCTGGGGGTGTGTGTAGGGGGGAGTGAGACAGTTGGAGGAGGTTGCAGCCTGGTGCTCCTGGTGCCCGTGTGTCTGCAACTTCAGTAGTCGCCTCCTCTCTTCTCTCCCTCCACAGTTCCTCCTCCTCCTCACTGGCCTCCTGTGACTGCCACTAGCTTAACTGATAATTGTGAACTATTGCTGTAACTTCTCACGTGTGCTGATTACACCCCACTTTGGCTATGGGGGTGTGTCAGATTATGTTATTTGTCTAGCCTGCAGTGGGGTGCTCAATAGTGAGTACAACCCCTTAGGGTTTCCTATATGTATCCTGCTGCTTGCTAGTTCAATCATCATTCCCATTCTCACTTCTCCAATTCTCCTTCGTATACCACAAACCCTAGTCCTAGGGCACAACCTACTACCTCCTAGTGTGGGCCTAGGCTACTAAGCCTAGGCCCCACTCCTATTGTTTCTAACACCCAACACTGTCCAGGTTCAATGAACCTAACCACACAACCAAGCGCGCCGAGCGGAAGTCGGCGCCGATCACGAGGCGCCACGCTGGGCCTCAGTAGTCCAGGGCCCCTGGGAGATGGAAGTCGGCATGCCCTAATTTCCGCAGAGAGGCACCAATGTCGGTCCCAAGCCACTTAACACACGCCCATTCCACAATGGAATGGCCCAGGTTTGCGCCCCTTGGGTGCAGCGCGGCATCCCATTAGCCATGCTTGGCACGTGGCACGTCGGACAGTGCGCCGCCACACGAGTTCACATGCATGGCGGCAGAAGCACAAGGGTTTGCGTGAACCGCGGCAGCATCGGAGTCGCTCAGGACCATACCCCACCGTGACCGTGCACCAATGCTCATTCCCTTGTCCGTTCCTGCGTGTCTTCCTGCTCTCTAGTGCACTTAGAATTTTCAGCTGCTTGTATGATACTCGGTTGCCGACTACTCGTTCAAGTCGGCACTTCTTGCTTCTACCTGGCACCCACCAAAAACGTCGGCGGTGGTCAGTACTCGTCGAAGTCGACGTCAGGTGTTGTAGGGCAACATCGGTGCAAACTATCAACATCCCGGCCGACCTAGCAAGTCGGCGACGCATGGCCAGAGGTCGCCCTAGAGCCCAACAGCCGCAACCCATCCCACCCCCCGCCGACTCAGTAGACGCCGACATCAAAGCGTAGCTGGAACGTCTCGAGGTCAAAGCCGAGTTAGACGAACTTGAGCGAGAATTGGAAGAAGACCGCCACGCAACTCTTCGGGCGTACACTGCGCCCGTGACTTAGTTCCGTCTTTGGTTTAACAACCTCCGCATCGCACATGGACAAAGGTAGAGCATCATACGTGCTGCCACATGGCCGACATCGACATGTCCGATGCTAGTCCCCCCACCGACCACAATCCTACATCTATCGAGGAAGAGATGATCCCGTTACTCTACGATCTTGATGCCCTGGAGAGTTCACCAAGGACATTCCCCCACCGCCGATCGGGGAGTTCAACAAGAAAAAAAAACCGACTCCGACACAAAATGGAACAGCCAGGAACTTCGTCGGCACCGGCCGGCTCTGGAAACCAGGTTGATGACGAGGAGGAGGAGGAGGATGAGGAGGAGGAGGAGGAAAGCGATGACGAAAACGACGAGCGTCCACCGCGTAGCACTAATCCGCGCACATTGGAAGAACGACCCAGGCGAGAACTTGAATACATAGATACACTGCTCGAACAGGACGAGGATGAGGACCAGGAGAACATGTCGGTGCCGCGCGAACAGTGGAGGGCGGCATACTTCGTCAAGGAAAACATGGTGTACGCGTGCATCGACGTGCTCGTCATGGACGCCCTACGCCACCTGCAAACCTTGGAGAAGAACAGCACGCTGAGGCTGTACACCTCGTGGATATACCACTACAAGAGGTGGGCGGCGAAGATGTTGAGGCAAATTTGCAACAAACTTCCCCAGGAGCACAGTCTTAAGCACGTCGACGAGATAGGCCACTACATCCGGGACAACAAGAAGAAAAATTGGGACCAGGAGGCCGATGTCCCCTGGCAGTACGTGTGGCTGCACGGCCCTAGGGTCACCAAGACCCGGCTTCGCGCATACGTGAAGTTCATGGTGCGTGAGTGTAAGTTCGATGCCGACTCCATCGAGGAGGGGAACAACGCCGCGCGAACCCAGCCTGTGCAATCTACGATGGTGCACACACTCCTCAGGCACATAAAGGCATGCCAGATGGCGGCGAGAGTGGAGGCGACGCTCTACCGGGAGACGGAGCTGAGTATCATGCGGGAGATATCGATGGTCAGGTCGGAGGTGCGGTTCATGATCCGCACCAAGAACGAGCGGGACATCAAGTAAGTTGAGGTCCAATCTCTGTCGTCCACACTATGAAGTCGACGCCGCCCTGAATAACCCTTACCCTTGGCTTTGCGGGCAGGAACTGCGCAGATCGGCGTCGCGGAACCATCGGCGATACCTACAATGCCGAACAGTTTCGCCAGATCATGATGAGGGTGCTGCCGACGTGGGCGGCCAAGGCGTGGAACCCGCGGGGAACGGGTCCTTCCCAGACGCTGTGGAGGTTCCTGCTCTTGAAGGTGCTCACGCTACTCTCCCACCACACTCTCCTGCGCGGTGCAAGCATCTGCGAGATCAAGCTCCCCGACATCTTCTTGTACCGACTGGCTAGAACCTCGTCGGTGAACCCGGAGAACCAGCCGGTCGTCATGGTCATCGCTGCGCAGAACTCGAAGACGTTCAAGGATGCGCGTCTGCAGCAGAGCTACGCGGCGCGACACCTTGAAGCGGAGTTATGCGCCGTCGGCGAGACTGGCCTGTGGTTGCACTTCATCCTCGACCAGATCGGCCAGTTTCACGGCGTCGGCCTCATTCCGCCGGTGGACACCAGCACACGCGCGAGCTGGTACAAGAAGCACCTCTTCTTCGCCCGAAACGACACCGACCAAGGGGAGCTCTCTGCAGCAAGTAACCAACGCTGGACGCGGCAGCTGTGGGACAAGAACGGGGTGTTCTGCAAAAGGAATGTGCACGCCGCTCGAGCAGGAGGGGCCCAGGAGCTGGCCATCGACGGCACGCCGCGCGCCGAGATCGCGGAGCTGGGTCACTGGGCGCTCGACAAGATGACGCGAGCGTACATCACCGCCATTCCGGTAGGGGTGGTGATGAAGAAGGCCGGTTACTCTGGTTACAAGCAGGACTACTTCTTAGGTCGGAGCAGGGTGCCGCCTTCCGAGAAGCTCTTGAAGCTCATCGCCGAGCACATCTTCCCCGGCGTCGACGCCATGCTGAAGAAGGTATGTTAAGCGACGACGACGTAGTCTTGTCTTCGTGCCGTGTTGCCGACCGTACCTGAACACCCAATATACATGACGATTTGCAGGCGGAAGGGCTCGCTGCCAAGGGGTCCGACGCCGACAGAGCCGCCGTGCACTTCTGGCGTACACTCCAGATGCTGCGCCGCATCGTCGCGGAGGACCTAGCGGTGAAGCTGGTCGGCACACCATGGCACCCGTACGTCCAAGGTTCCATGCTCTGCCGGATCCCCCTCTTCCAGCACTCGGCGAAACGGGTCGAGAAGGTCGACACCGAGACGATCAACAAGCGTCGGGACCTGACCCAAATTCAAGCAGAGGTAAGTCGAGAATAATGTCGGCAACGAGCTGTATGGAGTGTATTCCAAACCACATCGCAGCTAACGTTTTTGTCCTACCGCTGCATGAAATCTCTGTCCGCTTGGACAGCGAGTACTACAACGTGTCCCTCAAGGCGACGCTGAAGAAGGAGATGGAGCGCGCCGCGAACGAGAAGATTGACCTCCAGGAGGAGCTCGAGAAGCGCGACGACACCATTGCGTCGCTCACCGTCGAGATAACCCGTCTCACCGAGGCACTCCGTGTGTCAGAAGCACAGAGAGTGCCGGAGGCCCCGCCGCCGGCAACCGTGCAAGCTCCTAGCGAGGGTGGCTCAGCGGATTCGGCCAACACGGGAGCCGGAGCTGATAGAGGGGACGAAAAACCCCCGCCACCCCCACAGACGGACGAGGAGGCTAGTTACGAGCTCAACGTGGTACAACCGTGGCGGGAGGCAAAGGCCGTGAGGGACGCTTGGCGCCTCTGGAACTCCGCCACCGCCAACGACACCCGTCGTCTTTGCTACAGGGTCGCCGAGCCGGGCTTCGTCGACAGCCACACCCTCCTCAAAGGCGCGACGCAGGGTGCACTCAACATGAGGGTGCGCTGAATGCTGAAGGTCATGGATGCGGTGCGCCAGCTACGCGCGAGCGACGGCGATGCCGACACCGAGGCCGTGGTCAATGCACTGCACAGGATCGCGAAACCAGGCATCGGGACCTTCTGCGATGCCCTCACGGTGCTCAAACCGGGAACGGCACCGACGTACTCCGAAGAGCCTGGCATGGGAGTCAAGGGGCTGGGCCCCACGGTGGTCTCGAAGCTACGCCTCGCCTGTGCGCTTGTGGCGCTCAACCTGAAGTCGAGTGATTGGGTCGCTGCCCTGTTTCCAGACACCTGGGAGGAGCAGATGGCGAAGACAATGGCCGACCTGGCGAAGCCGACCTCACCGGCCAAGTCGACTGCACCAGCCAAGCCGACAGCACCGATGCATCGTCCTCCGACCAAGCGCAAGAAGTCGGCATGATGACCCTTGTAGGATTTGCGTCTGCGTAGTTTGATGCTGTAAATTTTGGCAGACATAAAACCGTCCCCTTCCCCCCCCCCCCTATCTTGCGTCTGCGTAGTTTGATACTGTTCCGGTAGTTTGGAAACAACCCACAGCAAGGTCCTTGCGAACCTACTTTGATCCCGCTACAGTGAATGTTGTCGGTCGCTCAGTAAGAAACCAAAATACTATCCTTGCAGACACCCAAACACAAGTCGATGTCTACGGTTCGTATCGTTCATCGCCGAGTAGCATCTATCTATGATGTCGACATATTCGCCTCCAAAGCTCATCGCCGAGTAGCATGTTTCTATGATGTCGACATATACGCTGACAGTTCTCGTCGCCGAGTTTAATGTTTCAGCATATATATCATCGTTCCTCGCCTAGTAGCATGTTCATATGATGTCGACGTATGCACCGACAAGGCTCAGCGTTCCTATTCGATTACCGTGCTTCTATGAGGACAGTGATTTATATCATCAAAAAGCGAAGCAACCTGATACAAAAAAGATTCGTGCGCTGCGAAGAAACCATTCACCAGAATTACAACGAAATCGGCGCCGGCCATACCGACATGTTATACACCCTAGCACCCTGCACACCTCCGACCGCCGACTACGCATCTGTACTGTCCTTGCCCTGCTTGCCCGTCTGCCTCTTCTTCCTCTTGCTGCCCTTGCCCTGCTTTACCTTCTCCCCCTTTCTCCCCCTGTGCTCCATATGGTACTCCATCTGCGCGTCACACGGCACATCGATGCCGTGCTCTTTGAGTTTGGGTCCGGCGACGGGGCACATTCCCCAGAACGCCAAGGTCTCGACCGTCGCTCTAGCGATTATGTCGGCCTCGACTCCCACAACCCCTTCCTTGAAGGCACTGTCCACAGCCTGACGCTGCAGCGCCGGTGCGACGTTGTGTGCAACCTCCTCTGCGGGTGCCTCCCTATTGCGTGCTAGGTCAACCACCGCGTGCATCACCTTCTTGAAGTCCTCGGCCCTCTTCTCCCCCGCACCTGCAACCATCGATGCTGCCTTCCCTTCGCCCACAGCACCGAGCACCGACGCCCCCGTCCCCACGAAGCACCATAGGGTGCATGTGGATGCCGCTAACGCCTGGGCTGCCAACTCCGTCTTCTCATCCGCCTCCCCGTCCGCGCCTACCATCTCCGTCCTCTCTTCCGCCTTCCCCTCCGCGCTCGCTTCGACCTTCCCAAACGCTGCGCTCGCCGCGACCTTCCCATACGCCGCGCACATCGACACGCGATTTACCATCGCCGACATGAAGGCTTCCGTCTCTTCCTTGCCTTCCTTCGTGTTCTCGACGACGGGAAACCAGATCGCCGGCAAGAGCACGTCGTGAAGCGCATCACCCGAACCCGTGTATCTACGGTACCTACCGAGTATATCGTCGAACCTACCGCACAAACACATTAAAACGACACCGACCTCGTCAACAACAGCGTAACGACACCTACTTTAGTCGACAGCACTCGGCAGTTCGGCACCTTGCTCTCGGATGGCACAAGCCTCTAGCCCACATCACCGTCCACATCCCAGTCGGCAAGAACTTGACCTCCTCCCACACCCCCTTCCATTCCTCCAACTCCCCCGGCTTCAAGACTGTGAGCTCGTCCATGAGCACCTTGCTCACGTAGCCGTCGTAGACGATGTACGCAATCGAGTGCTCGTAGGCCAGCTCCATATTGTCTCTCGACTTGCCGATGTATCGATTCTCGCCGTTTACCTTAATCTCGCCCACCCAACCTAGCCCGTCGCCCGACTTGTCGTGGCGGATGTCATGACCCCTGCGTCCATGCTCCTTCTTTCCCTCGCCGACCGCCTCGACCTCCTCCTCCTTCGTCTTTGCCGACTTACCCTTGCCGGCCTTCTTGTCCTGATTCCCTCCTGCCTTCTTCCCTTTCTCGTCCGACATCTCCTTCCCCGCCGACATCGCCCGCGTGCTCCTCTGAGAGACCGCCTTCCCCTTTCCAGTGTCGTCCTTCCCCTTCCGTCCCGCATTTCTCTCGGCGACAGCATCCGTTGCAGCCGTCGGCTCCGCCGTACCCCCTCTGTGAGTCGCCGACGGCACCACATACGCCGTGTCCATGATGGCCAGAGCCGGGGCGTGCTCGGGGCGTTTTGCAGCCTCGAAATGGGCCTGGATGGCAGCGATGTCGGCGTGCCTGTCGGCTCGGCCGCCGGTGGCTAGCGCTGCACGCACACCCTTCTCCGCCGCCACATCGACCACAGCTGCACCGGGTGTGGGTGCCGCGTTTACTGACGTCGGCGTCGCGCCTTTACCGGCATCCGGCTGAGTCACTGGTGGAGCTGCCGCTTTGCGTGCGCCTAACTGGGCGCGGAGAAACGCGGACTTCGGATCCGCAGGCGGTTGGGAGGCGATCTGAGGCGCGGCAAGTGGGGCACCGGACGATGTGCCGGCAACATGCGGGGTGACGGAGCGACGTGCTGTTTCGGCAAGGCCGGCGTCGACCACGGGAGGCTGCTGCACGTCCCTGCGATGTGTCTCCATGCGATGGAGCAACTCCTTGAGCGCGTTACCACCTGCGGGCACCTTAGCAGCTGACGGACCATCGCGCTTAGGCGCAGGAGCCTTCGCGTTGCCCTTGGCGGCAGATGGGGCTGCTGGAGCTGGAGGGGCCGCAATGGCCGGCCCTTCGTTGTTGGCGCCTGACTGGCCGGCCGGCGCGGTGGTAGCCGAGGGGGGGGTTCGAGGTATCGACGTGGACCCTACCACAGCGACGGACGGTCCCTTGGCGGTTCTGGTGCCGCCATCTTTCGTCGTCTAAGCGGTTGGTATCTCCTTGTCGCGCACGCCTTTCCCACCGCTCGCCTGAGGATGGGTCTGCTCGGCGACCAAAGGCGGGCCTTCCGGTGCCGCGACTTCAGTGGCAACCTCGTCGGCAGTGCCACCCTCTGCCCCCCCGCTCCCATCTCCCTTGCTGTGCGACGACCTTAACACCTTCCACCCCACCTTCGTCTTCAGCTGGTCGATCACGCTCTGTGAAGCAGGCTTCGAGCCGCCTGGATCGCGGCTCCCGTCCGCTCCCTTGCTCCGCTTCACGCTCACCGAACCGTCTCCGCCGCCCGTCCTCTTCTGGCCCTGCTTGTCGGCCTCCCTCCGTTGCGCCTGATCGGCGACATTGGCCGACGGCGATGCGTCTGGACGGCGGCTCCCGTCTGCTCCCTTGCTCCGCTCCACGCTCCCCGCATCGTCACCGCCGCCCGTCCTATTCTGGCCCTGCTTGTCGGCCTCCCTCCGTTGCGCGTGATCGGCGTCATTGGCCGACGGCGATGACCCACGTCGACCAGGAGCCATAGTGCCGATCATCTCGGTCATGAACTTCATCCCAGAAGCTAGGAACGACAGCTGGGTGGCCTCCGTCACCGCCTTCAAGATGTCTGCCTTGAACGACTTCAAGAGCTACTCCGGTAAGGTGGGCGTTGGGGCGGGCGGCGTGGGCTGAGCCGGAGGCGGCGGCTGCACGGCAAGCCTGTGAGTCACAGCGGTGGCGATGTTGACCTGCGCGGAGGCTAGGTGGTTCGAGATGTACTCCTCCAAACCCCTCTTCGCATCGCCCACCACCGTATCGACGTGTTCGGCCACAGCGGAGACCGCCTCGGCGCATGCATATGCCATATTTCCCTCCGGGTTGTCGAAGTCCAACAACCACGCCGACGCCAGTTCCGCGAAGGACTTCATCGACTTCCACGCTTCGTCGAAGCTGCCGGTGATGTTGCCCGTGATGGTCGTCGACATGGCCGACGTGGCGTTCCGCAGCCGTCTGGACGGAGTCGGCGACCTGGTCGGCCAACTCGTTCACCTTGTCGACGAGTCCACGTACCCCGACAAAAAACCTGTCCAGCCGAGCCTTCTCCTCATCGAGCAACGCCGCCAGCCGAGCGTTCTCCGCCCTCAACAACCAGTTCTCCCGTCGAAGCTCCTCGACGTCGTCTAGTTCAGGACCCTGCCGACCAGATGCTTCCCCCGTCTCCTGCACGCCCGTGATGTTCGCCCCTTCGCCGGCGTGGACCGGCACCTTCCCACTTCCCTCGCATGCCGCCTCCTCCTGGCCCTTTTCCGTCACTGCCTCCACGCCGACCTCATCCTTCTCCTTCCCCCCAACTGCCAACCTCGTAGCATTACCCGCATCGCCATCCTCCTCTTCCTCGTTCCTCTCATCCGCCGACCCCGCCGCCTCTTCCGTCGCTCCCACCTCAACTGTACCGTCTACGTACTCCACCTCGTACTCCACCTCTTCCTCCACCCCTTCCTCATCCTTCTTGTCCTCCTCCTCCTCCCCCTCGTCCTCCTCGTCCTGCTTCACCGCCTCGTCCTCCTCCGACTCCGACTCGGACCCCGACCCCGACTCCGACGACCCCGACTCCTCTTCCTTCCGTTCTGCACCTGCCGCAGCGTCGCCTCCTCCTCCACCGTTTCCTCCTTCTGCAAACACCCTCGCGCTCCCCTGATGCTGGGCGGCAACTGCTGCTTGGGGCGCCGTCTGTGTTTCAGCGCCGTCGTCATCAATCGAACTGTCGGCGGGGCCGATGGCTTGTGAAGTCGGCACCGCAAAGCGTTTTTCGGCGATGCGCTTGCAGATGTACTCCACCATGTTGTCTCGCAAACCCCTCAGCCCCTTTGTCTTGATGTTCTCGATGCTCACCCCACTACGGCCCTTCTCGCCCGTCAGCATGTCAATCTGCTTCGCCACTCACCCGAACGACGTCGCGGCAAGCATGCCGGTACCGACATGCCCGTCCGACACTGTGTCCGGCACTTTCTGCGTACAACACCGGCAAGCGCGGAACATTATGAGCGGAGCATACAGAAACGTGCACCCCCCTTAATGCTCAAATGTGCAACTCACATCGCGGATAGGGTGGTCGCAGTCGGCAAGCCTGTCCTCCACCACTGCTTGTGATGGCGGCGCCCCGTCCCACTTCCTACCGGGACGCCCCAGCTCGGCCAGGACAGCCGTGCGGAATAACCTGGAGCATCGTGGTAAAAGGAGGCGGTCAGTACGTGATACCCTGTGTCGACGACTAACAAGCGAGACATCAACGACTATTCACAACTTACTTCAGCACGCGGACGGCCTCGTCGCGGTGGACCAGTTTACCAGTCTGCGGGTCGATGTGCCGGATTGAGGTCCTGCACACCTGTCCCTCAGCCTTCAGCAGATCCCCTGGATAGAGGATGGCTATGACGCTGCAGTGTGATCCTGGAAGCGGACCGCCTCTGCACATGCAATACACGACGGCGTCGATCACAACATTAGGCGATGATGCGACCGACCACACAAAACGATAACTGGACAACGGGGAAACGGCTCACGTCGTTCTTAACGGGATCGCGGCGATGTCGGCGTCGAAAACCGTAGCAAAGCAAGAATGGTCGGCGGCCTTCATGGCCGATCAAAGCGGGCCAACTCCGATTACCCACAACCGCTGGTCGTTCAGCCCAATGCGAAACCAAGCGTACCTGATCGCACGATTGGGCATGAGGGATGATACAAGGGAGGGTGAGCAAACGCTACCATGTCGACGTCTACCGAACGTCAAACGCCGAAGGTACGTGGTCGATGTTTGCTAGGCCGGCCGACGTCCCTGGACGGGGTCTATGCCTAATACCGCGTACGCCGACGACAGTCCGATGACAACCGACAACAATGCGTCCCCCAACGGCGCCGACATCTACCCTATGCGCACGTCTAGTGTTTAGTCGGCGCCGACATCTACCCTATTCGCCCACCGCGACTACTCGAGTCCCACCTGATGCCGAATCCCAAGCATCTCTCGTTGAACTCCTTCTTGTGGTCGCGAAGGACGGCGAAGTCGTCCCACTCGAAAGTGAAGCTGAGACCGCGACCCATTCGGTGACGAAGAGGAAAGTCGGCCGAAGTCGGCGCCGACTCATCGGCGTCGGGGCTCGGCTCCATATCGACTAAGGGAAGACTAAGAAACGATAGCAAGGATTTGGGGGGGGGGCAGAGCTAGCAACGTCCGAAGATCGAAACGAGAAAATGAGGAAAATGAGGAGCGAAGCCACCTTCCACAAAGAAAAAGAGGTGGTGCCCCACCGTAGGCCCGTTCAACATCGCCCAAGGGTGTGGGGCCTGGCTCGGCATGGCTCGAAGGGCGCACGCGCAAGTGGCACGGGTCGTCCGTCTCCGCCTTGGCAGAGCGTCGACTTCGCGTCCATTGGCACATGTCAGCGAGGGGACGCAAATTCGCATGCGCGCGGAGCGTCGCTTCGGTCGACACGTGTCAAATTCGTAGCGGCTCGCGATGATATGGCGCATGCGATGCGAGTGGTTTCAATTTCGCATCGGTCGAAATTTTGCATGCTCACGATGCGAGCCCACGGGCGAACACGTGGCGTCACCGCAGCGGGTCGCGAAACTGTCGAGTGTCCCGAGGGGGGCCCCGAATTTTCGCCAGGCCCTCGCCTGCCCGTCCGGGCAGGCCGCGATGGGTTTCTAGGACCTCACGGGCAGGTGGCATGGGTGGGCTGCCTTCGCGCGAGGGTTACTTTCCCTCGCGCCAGGTGTCGCCAGTTCGCCGACCCCACCCGGTAACGTGGGTCGCTGTTCGCGTTCGGAGCGGGGCTGCGGGGCGGCGGTCGTGCACTCGGCCCAGCCCTGGGCCAGGCTGGCGGGCCCGCACGCGCGTCAGTCGCCCGCCTCATCAGGCCCGGCTCCGACGACCCCCCTCGACGACCCAGGCAAATCCGTTCTGACGACCGAATTGCGCTGGGATGTTCGAACCTGATACAGCAATACATGATAAGTTACTTACAAGCATTAGTGTGGAATTGTTAAAAAAACAAGCAAATTAACAGAAATTGATTCCACAATACTAACAAACAATAATTATATATTGATAAGTAGGAAGTCATTGGGTGTATCGCTTGAAATAAACACTACAGATTACATGTATCTCGTCAAAATATGAAAACTAAAAGCGTACCTTACTACGCAACCCTTTCGACGTTAAAACCCGAAGCCTGAATTACAAAAACGAGTCAACACTTGGTTTGGGAAGTGGACAATGAGGTTCGGATGGGTTGGTGAAAACTTCTGAGTAGCGAAACCTGTTTGCCCTGTTCACTTTGCCCGTTCGCCCGCCGCGCAGACGCGTCCTCGCGGCTTCCATCGCTCGCTAGGTCGCCTTCGCTTCCCCCCCTTCCCCTCGGTTGCCCATATTTCACCCTAAACCCCTGCGCTTCCTCCTCGTCGCCCCCATTTCCCCCAGCCCCTGCGCTCCCCCTCGTCGCCCACATTTCCCCCAGCCCCCGCGCTTCCCCACCGTCGCCCACATTTCCCCCAGCCTCTGCGCTTCCCCCCCGTTGCCCACATTTCCTTCAGCCTCTGCGCTTCCCCGCCGTCGCCCACATTTCCCCCAGCCTCTGCGCTTCCCCGCCGTCGCCCACATTTCCCCCAGCCTCTGCGCTTCCCCCCCGTCGCCCATATATTTGGTATTCAGAAGCCTGCGCTTCTGGCTTGGTGTGCATGGCATGGCATCATGCTATGGCATGGCTGGACGAACGGTTTGCTTATTAGCGAGGACATGTGCGTGCCAGAATCCCAGCCACTAACCACTAGGATAAAAGGGCTTGTTTGTGTAGCGGGTGAGTGTGCCCATAACCCCCGAGGCAAATGTGCCTATAGCCCTTCCCTAGGATCAATCAGAAATCACCAATGGACCTCTGACACCCCCCCGCACTAGGATGCCTGAGATGCACACACCGAGATTTGAACCCGAGATCTTCGCTCTGATACCATGTCAGAATCCCGACCACTAACCACTGGGATAAAAGGGCTTGTTTGTGTAGCGGGTGAGTGCGCCCATAACGCCCCAGGCCAACGTGCCTGTAGCCCTTCCCTAGGATCAATCGGGGATCACCAGTGGACCTCTGACAGTGAGATCTGCTGCCCCAAAGATGACCCATGACCTTCCCCCATCCTCGCCCCCATCCCCGCCCCCATCCTTCCCCCAATCCTCGCCCCCATCAAACACCCCCCCTACTCCGACCTTCCCCCTATGATCCCCTGTCCTCCCTACCTTGCACCCACTCCCCCCCCTCACATCCCCCCCTATCCCCCCTCTCTCCCACTTGAACAGGGACTACATTCTCTGCATTGCCTCGTAACCCCGCTAACCCGCACTGTCCCCACTTCTTTCACCCCTCACCTCAACCTCCCCCCTCCCCCTTCTCTCCCCTTCTCCAGTGTGGTATCCACCAAGCATGGCAACGACAACACGGACCACATTCTCTTCATCGCCACTAGGGCTTTCACTGCCTGCCTGCCATCCCTCTCCCCCCTATCCACAACCCTCTTCCCCCCATCCCCCCCCAACTTTCCCACAGCGTGGAATCCACCATGCATGGCAACGCCAACACGGGCCACATTTTCTTCATCGCCAGTGGGGCTTTCACTGCCAGCCGCCCCTCCAACAAGGAGTCATAGTGAAGGTGCCTTCACTACCTGCTGCCCTGCCCATCCGACATGCTAGCAGAGCTGCAGGGGCGCGTGCAGATAAGGGCTTACTGGAGAGGAGATTTGTGGGACTGTAACAAGAGATGAGGCGAAGATGCTTTCACTGCCTGCTGCCCCTCTGACATGCTGGCCGAGCTGCAGAGGTGCGTGCGAATCTGTGTGGATCTTCAGGGGCTGATCTGAGAGGTGAGTGACAAGGGAATTCAAGGAAATGGAGGTGAGGTGAGGGTTCTTTCTTTCACCCCCTGCCGCTTCTCGCATGCTGAGAACGCAAAGTGGAGGTCACCTGCAATTCAAAGTGGAGCGCAAAGGGTGTACCGGAGCGGTGAGAGGGCATATCGGAGCGGTGAGAGGGCGTATCGGAGCGGTGAGAGGGCGTACCGGATCGGTGAGAGGACGTACCGGAGCAGTCAAAGGGCATACCAGAGCGGTGAGAGGGCATACTGGAGCGGTCAAAGGGCATACCAGAGCGGTGAGAGGGCTTACCACAGAGGTGAGATACAAGGGGTTTACAAAAGTAGATAAAGCGAAGGTTCTTTCACCATATGCCGCCCCCCCAACATGCTGGCAGCCCGCCTGCCCATAAGAGTGGACCTCAAAGGGCTTACGAGAGAGGTGAGAGGGCGTGCCGGGGCTCACCAGAGCGGTGAGGGGGCTCACCAAAGCGGTGAGGGAACTCACCAGAGCGGTGAGGGTCATGGCTGAAGGGTTCTCCAGAGAGGTGAGTGTTAGAATACATTTTCTATTCTCTTTCTTCCATCTCTCTTCACCCCCTTCTCCTGCCCACCAGCATCTGTAACAGATCCTCATGTGCCTGTCCTGCCCACACCCTTGTGGGTTTCTCCCATCCCTCAACTCTCCCTTTCCCTCTCCCTCTCCCTCTCTCTCTCTCCCTCTCTCTTTTCCAGCACCTGTACCACATTATGATGTGCCCATCCACACCGTCGCGTCTTCCTCCCTCCCCTCCCCTCTCCCTCTCCCTCTCCCCTCTCCAGAATATTAATTGCTTTCATACAGAACCCGAAGTGACCATGATTCGACAGGGCAAACCTCTCTTTCACCAGATATGGCTTACGAATCACGTCGCAAAACCTCCTCTCCCCATCCCCTCCTTTCCGTCCCCCTTCTGTGGTGTGGCATGTGGTGTGAGGGGTAGCACGTGCTGGTTGTTGTGTGACATGCTACGGTTGCAC